GGGGGGGCAAAAATTCCCTATAAAAGTGTAAGATTATATTATATTTGAACAGCCTCTATGGGTTAAGAGCACTTTACACTCATGAGGCTGAGGGCTATTTAACGGCACCTCTAGATTTAACATACTTCTCAGAAAAGGGGCTTTCATGGTCTAGAAGTTACGGTGTTCTCCTCTCATTCAATAGCTCCTGGGACTGAATCCTGACAGGATGGAAAAATTTCTCCTTTCATCTCCTTTCCTGCTCTCTTATCATGTTTTGTCGTCTGCTTTTGTCTTCACTTTCTCCCCTCTTCCCCTTTTGCTCCTTTCTCTGGGCTCCTGACTCTTTCTGCTGTCTTTCTACTGATATTCCTTGGCTCCGTCGGGGGGGGGGGTATTAAGATATGATATGATCAGCCAAAGGGCTTGTTTGCATCTTCTGAGTGTGAGCCTGGACAGAAGATTGGAAAGCTCATTGGGAAAAAAAGGCTTATGTGCCTCGATGTAGGGAGCCTGGCCTAGATCATGTGCTTGGGGCACAGGGCGGACAGTGTTTGGAGGAGATAAGGGAATAAAAGTGTTCTCACCATCATGAGCTGTGTACAAATAAATGTTGGTGCATTGCATTGATATCAGCACTGTGGGGTGCGGTGGTAATGACATTTTTGGGGACAAAGTTTCTCTTTTAAAGGTTTTGTTTTAAAGTGCATTCTTATAAGATATGATAATACTTACTTTATTGTCCCAGAGGGAAATTTTTGTTGGCTGTACAGGACTGTAAAAATACATGCAGGTCTACATAGAAATTAAATTTTATACTTACCGGCAAAAGTAATGCGAATTCACATGACACAAGAAAAGGAGTGTAAATTGAAGCTATATTTTTATTAATAAAAATAGGTTTGAGGTTTCTCAAATTGCACAAAACAATGCTTGAGAGTTGGGGATTAGCTTAGGGACAGATGATTTTGTTATTCGGCATCAATGACCTTGACCTTGGGGCTTAGTTCCAGTCAGTATCTGGTATGGCCCCCTTAAGCGTTGATGACAGCAGTGCATCGGCGGTGGATAGTGTGGGTAGTACGTGCTGTATGAGGCCGGGCGTTATCCTGCTGAAAGAAGTGGTTTTGATGAGCAGCATGAGGCAGCAGGACTTGGGTGATACAGCGCTGTGCAGTCACTCCGTTGCCACGTCCAGGTCCTAAATTTTGGAAGATTATGGGCCCCAGTGTTTGATTGATACCGATTGTGCCCCTTATTATCAAATTTTGACCTCCCCACGAGTCTCTCTCCCAGATGTTCTCGTCAGAGTAGCGTTGTCCGGGGCGGCGCCAAATTCGGTCCCGTCTTTTGTCAGGATCGATACAGAAGTGACTCTCGTCGCAGAAGATCACACGCTGCCACTCTCAATGGCGCCAGTTAACGTGGTTCTGAGCGCACTGTAGACGAGCTCATCGATGATGGATGTTCTTGGGTGCACTCTGTTCCAGGCGCCGACAACGCAGCCCGTTGGCCACAAGTCGGTGGCGTATGGTAAGGTCACTCACGGCTCTATCGTGCGTTCATATGGTGTCTGGGCTGTCTCGGAGGCAGATAATCGTGGATCTCGACGATGCTGACGCACGACGAAGCCATGTTAGGCAACTGCTTTCAGTCGAGGTCTTCCGCTTCTTTGGAGATCTCTAGTGGAGTTGGTTGCCTGGAATCTGTTTTGCAGGTGGTAGATAGTGCTGGCATGCACTCCCAGGACTGTTGCCACCTGCTGAGGGCTCTCGTCGGCTTGCAGACGTCCAATAGCTCTTTCTGGGTTTTCCTCAGATAATCTTGGCATCTTGATAGTCAGACTATGCAACACTCGATCAAATATTTTAGTGCAGAGAATTTATAGGCCAGACCAACTTAACATATGAGCAAACATTCTCGATTCAATTCATGTTTTAACTGCGTACCACTGAGAGGGTTACTTTGTTGTATTGTTCGATTCATAAACGGCCAATGAGCGTGTTGTGTTTTTTAAATAAAGCCAATCCAATAACAAGAACACATTGTGAATAGAGACTAATGAAAACAACTCACGAAAATACTCAGTTTATTTTCTACTCATGGTGTTACTTTTTCCCGTTGTTTATGCCGGTCAGTATATTACTGTCATTAAAAATTCAGTATGAAAAATAAAATAAAGCAGACTATAATGTACGCATCACATTTTTGTAAATTTCAGGAAGTTTGAAAGGCGCTTTATTGATTTAATTAAAATCCCATGTACTATTAAGCCCAAGGGCCTGATTCTTCAGTCAAGACTTGGAATCTCGGGATGTAGTTTTGAGGGCTGTTTTATGGGTGTGTCGAAAAAGTTTTGGGAGTTTTATACTTTTACCAGCTGACAAACTGTTTGACCTGCTCTAACTGCCACCTGTCCAAGCAAATCACCCGTACAAACAATCAGTTCTCACTCCCCATCAGAGCGTTTATTGTAATGGCACTGCCCAAGATGTCCACCTGACTAAAGACATCCACTTTTCTCCCTAACAATGTGCGGCCGCTTTGGACAATTCCCACTGTACTTAAGAAGAGTTTCCTTTCCCAGGGAGAATCTATAATGTACATGATGTACAACGATGAACATCCAGAAGGGTTAGAGACAGACCACAACGGTCATACTAAAGGTGAGTCTGACTTGCTTGATCATCACCACCACACATGGCTATGGTATTGTATGGGGACATTTAAATATCTTATGCCTGGAAAAGGTGGTTGGGGTGGGG